GAGGGCGGGCCCCAGAGGAGAGGGCGGGCCCCAGTGGAGAGGGCGGGCCCCAGAGGAGAGGGCGGGACCCAGTGGAGAGGGCGGGACCCAGTGGAGAGGGCGGGCCCCAGAGGAGAGGGCGGGCACCAGAGGAGAGGGCGGGCCCCGGAGGCGAGAGCGGGCCCCAGAGGAGAGGGCGGGCACCAGAGAAGAGAGCGGGCCCTGGAGGAGAGGGCGGGCCCCAGAGGAGAGGGCGGGCCCCAGTGGAGAGGGCGGGACCCAGTGGAGAGGGCGGACCCCAGAGGAGAGGGCGGGCACCAGAGGAGAGGGCGGGTCCCGGAGGCGAGAGCGGGCCCCAGAGGAGAGGGCGGGCCCCGGAGGCGAGAGCGGGCCCCAGAGGAGAGGGCGGGCCCCAGAGGATAGGGCGGGCCCCAGTGGAGAGGGCGGGCCCCAGAGGAGAGGGCGGGCCCCAGAGTAGAGGGCGGGCCCCAGAGGCCATCTTATAACCAGCAAACTGTTTTTTCCACTGTGGAGTATGCTGTTGGTGGAGAATCAGTTTTGTTTGGTGCCTCCTCAGATTGAAGAAGTCCGTTGGATGACGGATGAAACGTCTCAAGAAAAGAAGAAAATGTCTAGACGACCTGACTGAACATTGTTGGATTTTATACCTGGATTATTGAGTGTGAACTTTGGAACTTTAATTGAACTTTCTCCTATAAAAATTCATTGAAACCTCCTCGACTGCTTCAAAAACGTTCTCTGAATCACACACGCTCTTTTTTATCCAACGTCAATGTTTAGCAGTTGTCATACAAATTTTAGCTTTCATTTATAGCTTTGCTACATTTATCTTTTAATAACTGTTTTACAACCTTTTCATGCTCATTTTATCTTAAAGCGTCAGTTTAGCCAATTTTAACCATAAGCTACAATTGTGTTATTATTTTTTAGCTTATGTTTTGATAATTTTTAGATTTTAATTACTGTTTTGCTACTTTTTTCTTAGCAACTATGCTAATTTTATCTTTTAGCTACAGTTTTGCAAAGTTTAGCTTTCAGATTTGGTTCTGCTACATTTAGCATTTAACAACTTACTAAATTTAGTTTTCAGCCACCATTTTGCTGATTTTAACTTTTTGACTTGGAGTGGTGGCGCAGAGGCTAGAGAAGGTGGGCCTGTGATTGGGGTAGCTGGTTCAATTCCACGGACCAACAACATAAAAATGTGGGTGGGAGAAGTGAAACACCCACACCTGCCTCCACCCTGGGCCCTTGAGCAAGGCCCTTAACCCCCACCATCTGCCCCCCTGGGTGCAACAGATGGCTGATCTCTGCTCCACATAGAGAGCTGTGGTAGCTTGGTGGTCTGTGGTTACATCAGGAAGGGAGCACAAACAATTGGCAAGTCTTCGCGTTAGTTCGCTGTGGCGACCGCTGAAGAAGGGAGCAGCCGAAAGAAGAAAACAATTTTTTTTTTTTTGCTTCTTTTGACTTGAACAATTCAGTAAAAAATATTCATCTGTCATTGAGCTCTCAGCATTTATTGAAAACTGAATTTCTATAATTTGGTTTGAACCAAACTATTCTATAAAGCTTTATTTTTTCACCCTGCGATCTCAGTTTGGTTGAAAAATTTTCAGCTTGTAGAAACTAAAATAATCTGGGCTCTGCTTTTCTGACTGTAGCTGAGCACATTTAAAGATATCTTCTCTCATCTCTGGATCACGGTCCTGGTGATGATTCCAAAAGCATTTTTGGCTAAATCTGTTTTTTCTCCTCCTGTCCATCTGTTTGAGTCTTTGTCCCTCCATCCTTGTTCAACACTACCCACCCTGCTTCAATGAAGTGGTTGATGGCGGCGTCCATCTGTTTCTGCTGGACCAGGTAGTCTCCCCAGGCCTCCTCCAGTTTCACCACCTCGGCGGGGAAGGAAACGCGAGCCAGCTCCACCGCTACGGGAAGCAGGAAGAAGAAACTTTGTTGAAGAAACGCTCCACTTGTTTAACAGCTTGTCAATTGATTTCAATGTTTTTATTTAAATCACAGTCAAACCAAATGAAAGTTGGCGAGTCCGCTGGAAGGCTTATTTACCTTTCCTGAAAGCTCCTCCCTTGCAGTAGCACTCCAGAGCTCTCTGGTTGTTCCTGATTTTCTCATACAGATCTCCTGCCTGACCAGGAAAAAAGGAAATCATCATCAACCTAAAAACATCCCAGAAAGTTAAAGCATTTCAGCTTGATTATGCCAAAAAACAAACTTTAAGGTTTCATTTTTTGTTCGTAAGGTTTTACCACCTGTTAGGTAAACACAGACGACTGAACGAAGACAAGCGAGTTTTCAGACAAACTGAGAATAAAACGTGAGCGCAGAAGTAAGCGACAGATGGAGGGAGATGGTGTGAAACTCAGATCAACAAGAAGTCCTGTTGCTTTTCTACCAAAGCCTTTTTTACTGCGGGCATCTGTTAGGAGAGGAGCGGAAGAAGGGAAATATTTTTTATAGCTATGAGAAAAAATTCACTCACTCTTTCATAAAACTCTCCCTTGATGAGGCTGGCAGCGATGCGACTGACGGTGTCGGCGCTGTTGGTGAGCTCTGGACGGCTCAGGGCCAGACGGGCAGCTTTAGCTGGGAGTCCAGCCTTCAGGTAGAGGTTTATGGCCCCCTGGAAGTCCCCCTCGTTCTCCTTCACCTCGCCGGCCTTCTCGTCCTGACCCGTCTCCGTCAGCCACTGATAATAGTTGCCTCGCAGGCTGTTCAGCTCCGGGTGAGCCTGCAGAGGTTATGGTTTAAAAGTAAACATGTTTAGTAAACCACTAATATTTATTTCATACACAGGACTTTGTTTTTCTTCAGTTTTTAAGAACGGATTGAGAGGTGGTGCGTTGACCTGTGATCTCTAATTCCAGCACGAGTTACCGCAGAAACAAACTCGGGTAAAAAACTGAACCAGTTTGTGACGCAGGAAATCCCAAACGGAACTCACTAATCCACTAATCCGCAGCCTCCTGGAACCCTGACACGTTTATTTATTAAACTAAATCTATTTGCTCCAACTGAGAGAGAGAAAAAAAAGCTTTTTAGGAGGTTTCCATCAGAAAAGGTTGCAATAGTGCAAGAATGTTTTATTTACCTCGGAGGTCTGAACTCGGATCTGGAAATGAAGATTCATGCGTGTTCCAGTTGAGAGTCAAGATCTGGTTCGGTTTTCTAACTGCAGTGCTCAGAGACCAGGCTAAAGACCATCTGCACCATTTCTCCACGTTCTGTGCATTCAAACCCTGTAGCAGCTTCACTGACGCTGGTTAAGCAGTACTGTGTGTGACTGAAAAACAAATGCTTTATACGTGCAGATACCACAGCTTCTCTTGATCTCAGAGTTGGGGTTCTGAACTTGGTGAAGCGTTCCGGTTGATTTTGTCAACTTGAGGCGAGTTGGAAAGACTTAGTACAAGTGAACTGAAGCATGAGCCGTCGTTCTGGTTTGCTTACGTTACCTTGGCTTCAGCCACTGCGATGCAGTCGTCCCACATGTGGAGCTCCTGGTACATCTCTATGGCCTCATCGATTGCGTTCTGCAGACGGTAAATCATGAACATGAAACATTTCGATAAAATGAACTAGGTGTTTGGATTAAGGTTTGACAGGACCAGCTGAACGGTGGAACAGTCTCATAAATTAGTGACGTTCCCCATTTGGCATTTTTCCCACTTTAAATCTGCAAATGTTAAAACATACAACTATTAATAATTAGAGAAACTTAAAACTTCAGCAAGAATTCATTGTGAACACAGCTGAAACTTGATGAAGAATGAATTTTAAATTTGAAAAAAAAGAAGCTACAATTAGCAAAATCATAATATAAATGTCTGAATTGTCAAAACCGTAACTAAAAGCTTAAATTAACAAAACCTTGGATAAAAGATAGAACTAGAAAAGCAGCAGCTAAAGAATAAATGTAGCAAATCAAATGCTAAAATAATAAGACCATAGCTCAAAGCTAAAAATGCAAAACCTTAGTCAAAAGCTAAAACAAGCTAATAAAAGCTAAAAGCTAAAAAAAAAAAACACTGTAGCTAAAACTAAAATGAGCAAAACAATAGCTAAAAGCTTGCCTTAACAAAACCAAAGTCAAAAACTAAATTTTGCCAAATTGTAGCCAAAAGATACAATTAGAAAAACTGCAGCTAAAAGGTTTACGAAAGAAAATGGCTAAACGCTAAAATTAGGAAAAGTGTAGCTAAAAGATAAAACTAACTAAATTGTATCTAAAAACCAGGAGCAAAAAGCTACAATTAGCAAAACAGTAGCTAAATGATAAATGTAACATAACTGTAGCTATAAGCTCAATTAAGCAAATATTGGCTATAAGCTAATGTTAGGATAACCTTAGCTAAAAGGCCAAAACTAGAAAAATTATAGCTAAACTCTAAAAAAAAAAGCTAAACAGAAGTCAAAAGCTAAAATTACGGTAGATCAACTATAGTTAAAAGCTAAACATGGCAGAGTAGTAGCTAAAAGCTGTCATGTCACACCAGTCGAGCCAAATGTTTTGATAATTGACTGGAAACTTGAAACAACAATAGTTTGAATGTTAGCATTTACACAATAAGGTGATTTTGTTGACAATAAGATACTTTAACTAAACACAACTAATCTATGTAATCTACGAAGCATCATCCGGTTTTATCTTTTGGAGGTAAATGTGTCCATAAAGATTGTTTGAAACCTTATACCTGCTCCATGTAAAGCATCTCAGCCAGTTTAAAGTTCTTGTCCATCATGGCCACCTGGGCTTGGACTTTGTAAAACAACGTCCCGTCGTCCCCCTGATTAGACAAGAGACAAACAGATTAGAATAAGCTCAATCCGGACAGTAGTCGTTCTATGCAAACAGAACATTCATCCAAAAGATTTATTTGAATAAATAATAAGTAGAAATGTTTGGTTTTCTGTGTTTTGAATGTTTGGGCTTTGTTGTCATCAAGACAACCATAAATCTAACAATCATTAACGTTATTCAGCTACATTAAACTTTAAAATATAAACTATAATTTAAAAATGTGCAAAAAAAAAAAAAAAATCACAACTTTAGAACAAATTTTTAACACCACCCTTAGAAGTTTTCTCTCTTTTCCCATATTGTGATTTTATATCGCGGAGCCTTATTTTAGGCACTCGTACCAAACGCACCGTTTCCTGTGAAACTTTGTCTACGATTTGGTTGGCTTGGTGGAGGAATCGAACGGTCGACACGTCACCCAGAGCAGCGAAACACCTGCAGGAGAGGAAGAGAGAAGTCAGGCAGGAGGAAGAAACGCTGCAGAGAACGGCAGTACAAAGAGAAACGAACGGGGTTCAGAGGAGGCAGATCGAAGCTCTGAAACCTGCAAACTTAACGACTTGAGATAAATTACATCTTTAGACTAATTGGCTTCCACACACGCTGCAATCTGAGCCCAGAGAAACGCAAACATCTGAGCGCTCAGCTACTTTATTACCAACTCTCTCTGAACCATTGCATCAGATTAATGAACAGGTCATGAAAGGAAAGAAAAGTCATTCTGTTTGGCTCCGCTCTCTTCTCTCGTTAATATTAGCCTCTGCAGAGAAAACCGCTTCTTTCCCGGATTTTGGGATTTATGCAAATGGAGGCGAAGCCCAGCGAACAGCATGTGCATTATTAATGACAGAGAATCCAGATGTGAAGGGTTCCTCACAACAGAGAGAAATAAAGATGGAGAGAGGAATGATAGAGAATTAAAAACTGTCTGATGATAAATGAAGTTAGAGGAGGAGGTCAGTGCGGGACACGTCATCTGCTGGGATGTAAAATGGCTTCCCAGTGTCTGGACTGGAGTCACATCTAGAAATAAAACTAAGTGACTAAAAGATAAATCATGAAGCGTTAAATATGTGAGGAGAGTGTCCCGTTTGTCCTCCAGAAAACTAACAGAAAATATAATGAAGCTGCAGGAAAGTGTTCCTGTGAGGATTGTCTTCTCGTGTCCGTTCCTGCTCCTCAGTTGTTCTCCTCGTGTAATCAGCTCTTACCTCCACCACCTGTTGTCCCTCCCAGGTGTTGTCTGTCATTAACGTCCCTATTTAAGTCTGAGTCTCTGTGCTCCTCGTTGTCTGGACATTATCCTGTCAAGTCTCGTGTTCGGTCTTCCCTCCGTGTCCCCAGCGTTTAATGTAAGTTTTGCTGCCCCGTCAGCTAGTGATGAGCAAATGAAGCTTTTATGAAGCGTTGAACCAGTTGGGCCAAATGCTTCAAAAAATAGGTTCATTTGTCGAAGCTTCAGTTACAGTGACCTCTTGTGGCATTTTGCAATGCTGCTGTCAAATTATGCTTTTGGTGGCACACGAACAAGAAACTACTGTGGTTAAAAAAAATGAATAAATAAATTTATTCATCAACTTTCTATGTTATCTGGTTTGAAAATGTATTTATGCTTACATGTTTTCAAATAAAGATTGATAAATGTGCAGTGAAGAGATTTAATGAAAATGTTGCAGTGGTGTTGTGCTTGTGTAACTGTGGCAGAGTCAGTTTTATCATTCTTAAAATAACAATGAAATGACACCTCCAGCGTCTCCATGTTTGGCGTTGAAGTGCCTAATCATAGAGGAGGTATCATGACGCTTCAGTTCAGTTGAACACACCAACACTGCACCTGTAGAAATACTCCAATGTAAATAATTTAATTTGAGCCCATACAGGCTTAAATCACATACATCATTTTACTGTAATTATATTAAATACATGGGTTAAACGGGTTAGATAATATCTTTACTGCTGAACATTACTATCACTTTGACATTTAAATGCCAAAACCACCTTATCATGAGCAGAATGAAGCGTTCCACATTAGAATTAGGGCTGCACCGACTGCAGTTTTCTGCCCGATCACCGATTTCTACAAGTCTGACCTGCTGATACCGATTTTGTTTTATAAGCGACACTGTCAGGCGTTATAAGGTCACAATGCACCTTCAATTGTCCAATCTTATTTTATTGAACAATATCCTTGAAACAATACAAACTTGTTTTAACTGGCCATGAGGTGGTGTTCTGAAATATAAATGAAGTTCAGACAATTGTTAAAACTAAAACTGTAAAATCGGTTTCTCATACAAGTATCGGCCAATTTCCATTTTTACAAAATTAAAGACATCTGGGCCGATTAATCGGCGCACCACTAGTTAGAACGACGTCTTTTTTTCGGCTGGCTTCATAATAAACTCAATTTCAACTAAATCAGCAACACAACAGCAAAAACACACCTACTCTCCAACACATTGCAAACATTTTAGAGCTGTTTCATGGTGTTGAGCGCTCTCGATTCAAAACTGTCTCAACCCGTCAACTGTCAGAATCGAGACGAGGCGGTGCCAGGGAATCAGCTGATTGGACCATGAACCAGTCAAACGATTCATTCCGACAACGAAACAGTTTGTGTTTCGGACGTCGAGTCTTTTTCCGCACCTAAACAGGCCCCGAAGCAGTGGTACGATGTAATTCTACTTCAGGGGTCGAAGCATGTTTTGAAGCTTTTGTTTCATACTACCATCACTACCGTCAGCCTTTTGTTTTAAATAATAAACTCTTTCTTTTTGTAAATCACAGTCTCCATGGTGTGCCTGCATTTGGGTTCGACGCTAAACCACCAGATCGTGACAGTTCCAGCTGAGCCTCACATTCTGACCACATTTCCTCACTCTGCTGCCGTCCTTACTGGCTCTACTCCCGTTTGTATTTGCAATTACGGTATTTCTACCCTTTGTCTTTTTCCAATAGAAACTACTGGACCATCCTCTTTGTGTTTGTTTCTCTATCCTGTCTCGTCTTTCCCAGCCAGTCGAGGCAGGGATGAAACAGTTGGGCCTCTTCATTGACTGTTTTTAACTACCCACCCATGTTCTTTGGCTTTTAGCGCTTGTCGTCGTGGAAAAAAAGAGATTCCCAACACAATCGGGTGTAGACTTCATCAGATTTATTAGAAAGCTTTGGAGAACAGCCAGCAATCACAGATGACCAATGCCTTCACCTGTCTGAGATTCTGACTTCCTGAACTGAAAAAATTTGTTGTGTAGAATCACGCTCTGGCACCAAAAAGTTGGATTTTTTTCTTGGTGATATAATTACAATTTTGCTTTTTCTAAATAGCCCACAGATGAAAAGCTGTATACTTTATACCAGGTCTATTCAACTAAACTGCTCCGGGGGCCACAGTCACTGAGAGCCAGCAGCTCAGGGGCCGAACATCCAGCAATTAAAGTAATTATGTAAATAAACCAAGTATTACAACCATCTGTTACCTTTTAAATTTGTTTAAATCACAAATGCAATAAACAGAACTCAAACCAAACCCAGAACCTCAAAAAATAAAATAAAGTATAAAAATTTAAGAACTTATTGGTGGGCCGGACTGGTCACCCACAGGCTGGAAGTGGCCCGTGAAAAATACTATGTTCAAGTTCAAGTATCTTTATTATCCCCGAGGGGCAATTAGTTTCACAGTCAGTAGAGATACAAAACATCCATACTACACAAAACATTAAGACATTAAAATAATAATATGGAAGTCATCAATGTTCATTGAGAAGCCTGATCACTCCACGGACGAATGAGTTTTACAGTCTATTCATTCTACATCTAGGCTGCAGACACCGGCGTCCAGATGGAGCAACCTGACCTCACCATGGAGTGGAGATCAGGATCTGCCAGAGTCAGCCTGGCCTTGTTCACTGACCTCATCTTGTGTAGGTCAGTGAGGTTCTGTAGGTCGGTGAGGTTCTGTAGGTCAGTGAGGTTCTGTAGGTAAGTGAGGTTCTGTAGGTAAGTGAGGTTCTGTAGGTCAGTGAGTTATGTAGGTCAGTGAGGTTCTGTAGG